AGTTAATTTTTTAGAAACCCCTTATTTCAATATAAACAACAAAAACAATTAAAGCCAAATTTCACAATAACAAAAGCGGACTTTCAATTTTTTACATTAAAGGTTCAGACTAATAAATAAATTGAATATAATTGAGAGTATCATTGTCTCATCATTCTCATAAATCGTTGTCGCCAAGTGATAATCGATTGTTTAAATTGTTTCTTGTAAAAACTCGATGGTAGAACAAAGATTACAAAGATGAGAGATGATGGAATGAATGAAATAAAATAACCACAAAGATATAACCAAGGATTTCGTGATGCTTTAACACATGTTGATAATAATGAAATAAGAAAACGAGGAAACAGTAAAACAGCTAATAAAATAGAACTGATAATAAGTTGTTTGTGCTCGTTGATTTGATTAACTAGTTGTTGTCTATAATTAAATTTAGTTCGAGTGGTCGTTCGCTGTCGCGCAATGTTTATGATGATATAAAGGGCTGAAGATAGATTTATTGCAAAAGGAGCAACAAAATGGAAATATTGTACAATTGTCGTATATCTTTCGACTGATTGAGAATAGCGAAGTACGCACCAAACACGTCGTTCTTCATGATCATCAAATAGATCACGATAGATAAGCTCATAACTCATTGAACCCAAAATAATAAGTGGTAAAATGAAAAGTAACCATCGTGCAATACATTTACTTCTTTTCTTATTAAAATTAATTCCTTGCAGGACTGATATTGCTCTTTCTATGGCTACACAAGTATTAAGCCAATTACTCATATTTAAGAAAAGACGAAGTAAAGGTTCAAGTACTAAGCATCCAACTCGAAGAATATTACGATTGATCAATGGATTCATATACGTGTATACTACGAACCAGAATTTTATAATTAATATAATAACAATTAGAATAGAAATAATTGATGATAATCGAAGATAAATTCCAGATCCTACTTTACGAGAATCACGATTATGAAAAACTAAATAACTAAGAAAACCATTGATTAAACCAATGAGAAAAATAATCATGATAAATGTTACACTCAATTTAACTACCAATGATTGATCATTTAGCGTACTATTAGGTCGAATTTCATATCGCAATAAATCATCTAATATTAATCCAATACCTTTAGCATAAAATTGACATCGATCACCAAAAAAACAATCGCTGCATACACACAATATACTATAGAAACACATAGGTCGATCTTGTAAACATGTTCCACCATTTTCACAATAAACATTATCTTCACACACAAAACTCAATTGATGATCTAATGGAAAACAATTACTATGATGTTCTTCTGTGCATAGACACACGTAAAATTCATCCACAAAACATTGTAGATTAAAATCACGTTGACATGGAATATGATAACTTTTCAATCGTTGAATTCGTGGTAATGATACTAATTTAGTATCCAAAATTTCATCAACAGAAGCACATCGTTGCGCAGGAATAATCGATGTCGTTATGTTAGATCGTTCGACTTTTTGAAGTACAGCCAAATAATAACGAGTATAAACTTTGACAAGAATCATTACGAACATATGTTGAGAATATAAAATGACATGATTCTGAAACATAGCCATTTTTTTGAGTATAGTTAATGTTGGTATTAATTGTTCAAAACTAATCTCATTGTAGATATAAATGAGTAAGTGTGATGGAATATCAATATTCTTCAGAGAAATCTCTATTCTATGATTGATGTTTTGACATCTTGATCCATAAAATTGTTCGGAGCAGAAGCATACATAACTTTCATCAATCATTCTCTCATCGATTACGACACATCGGCCATTATTTTTACAAAATCCTTCTAGGCACATTAGTTTAAGACGACAAAATGAACCAAATCTATTTTCAGGACAAACACATATTGACCGATTTTGAATCGAACCAAGACAGATCGAGTTTGATGCGCACATATTGCAATCGATTGGAATATGACATTGTGCACCAGACCAACCTGAATTACATTGACAAAAGAATCGTTCTTCGTTATGATATTTCATGCAAGTACCTTTATAACATTGAAGATTGCAATGATTAAAATTCAATGGTCGAGATATTGGAATAGTCAAAAAAGCACTCAATCGATTAACTGGCAAAAAAATAAACGGAACTGTTAAATGCCAACTTAATAGATACGTTAATGAACTCTTGTCAAATGCATCAATATGAATGCTATAGTTTTTTGAAGTATTCTTTTCTTGTGTTGTATATAATAGATAGATATCTACAGACCGGCCACAATATGTTTTTGATTCATAAGTAAATTGATGGTACGAATGAATTTCTTGTCTATCGTTATCATCTTCCATTAAGGTAACAATAATAGCATAGACTATCGGCTGATGAACCGTTGCTAATACGAGAGTTAAACTAACACGTTGATTTTGATACTGACATTGATCACCATAATAGTTTGGCGGACAAAAACATAGACTACTGTAATTGTCCACTCCAAGTCGATGATACATATGTAAACCATAATTACAAACATTTGGCTGTGTGATCATTTCAATTGGCAAGTGTCTCTTTTCGTCAGTGATCTGGTTTTTAATAGAATAAGTTGAAATAGTCTGTGAGGTTGGATAAACTAATGCAGTATCTAATGAAAAAGATACATAACCTGTATTAACGATTCGACATTCAATGTTTTGCACATTGAAAAGATCATTTAAATCATAGTATTTTAAACGATTAACACAAAATTGATAATTATTATACATAAAACAGTTTTGATGTTCTTCACAAGTATTTTCATCGTCTTTACATTTTGTGTAATTCCAGTAACGAAACTTGTATGTTTCCACAGTAATATTGTTCATTTGAAAATATTCAACTGTATCGAATGATACTCCAAGACAATCGACCGTTTCATTACTAACTTGATCAGCTGGTAAACACATAAATGTATAATTCTTTGATGAAATACAAAATAGAAAATGATTTAATTTAATTAGTTGTGTACAATTCTTTTCATCCTCTCCATTAAGACAATTTCGAAATCCATCACATCGTGTATAAATATTATTACATTGCAAATTTTCACAGTCAGTTTCATCTGAATGGTATTGTCCATTAATCAACATCAACGGCAAATCTGCAATACGATCGCATATTTGATAAAATAAAATTTCCTCATAATTTATATCTGTTGGACGAGAACAGATATTTGGTGAAATTAGAGGTGAACGACATTGTTTCTCATCTGGACATTGAAATCGAAGTGTTTGATTTAATAAACAACTCAATTCAAATGCTTCTTCATCATCATTTAGAAAACAATCGGGTATACCATCAACGATTCGATATTTAGAAATATATTTTAACGAATTTTTACATTGATATAATGATGAATAGTGAGAACTGAGATTTTGATAAGGTTGAGTGATACAACCAATAAAGTATGGTTTGATTGAATCGATAATAGATTTCCATGTAGTTAATTCCACATTCATGCCAAGGCCTGTTTGATTCCCGTATCGACAAGTGAAATTTTTATGATTGAATGTAGGTGTGAGAAAATCACATAATTGTTCATCATAACAAACATAATCAGGTTTCAGAGCTAATGTTGTATTAATATTGTCAATTTCTTTTGGACCATATAAAAATCGTACATGACCAAATAGTACAGGAATAACAGGAAATTCAAGAGGAAACGCACAGTTCTTAAATTCTTCAATAATTTCAGAAGATTGTATGAACTGATCACATGTTATATTTTCGATTTTATTCATGATTTTGCTGAGACAAATCATAACTATCCAACATGAATAGGATAAATTTCCTTGAATACTAATTGATTGAGTCAATGCTAAATGTCGATTATTTTCACATTGACCAAAATCTTCTACACATTGTCCATTACCACACGTAAATTGACCTTCGTCAGGTCGACATACATATTCTTGATATTCGAATAGATGTGGTCCATAATAAAATATCGGAAGATAATTGTTCTTAACAATCCCATCCGATCCGTCAAAACATTGTGCTTCTACCGATTTCATTTCCAAAAATATTTTTGGAATACAAAAACCATTGTGACATCGATATTCATTCTCATTACATTCATTTACTTCTAAATCAAAACATCCAATTTCGTCGATACCATCATTTAGACAATCGATTCGGCCATTACATATCTCACGCCAGTCAAGACAAATCGATGGACCACCGCGATCGCATTCTAAATGAATGTAACACGTTTGTTGAAACATATTATTTGTTGAAGTCATTTCAAATGAATTCCAAACAAATTCATCTGTAATTAATTCTAATGAATATTCACATCGAGATCCAAACCATGGACGTGTACAATTAAAAAAAGTTTCATTCGATAAATTGGATTCAAATGGTTGATCGAGATAATATTGATATTGTTCAGCAACATCAATCGATGACGACCATCGAAGAATTTCATCTGACGTAACATTCAAATGATATAATTCATCGAAAGTAAAAGATTGATCAGATATATTAATAAAATGCACTACTGTCGTCAAATTTTTGTTGTTATTTGGACGAATACAATATTTGACTATTCCAGTAAAGGATAATTCAAGTGAAAAATAATGTAAACAATCGAATCCAAATGGATCTGTATCATAGAAAAATGATTGTAAACCATTAGATACCGATAGAAAAAACATAATATAAAAGAATCTCAACATTTTATTCAAATGTAGCTTTGCACACAAATGACAATATAATATATAGATAGACAGATTTAACACAACTTTTATGGTAAATATTCATCATTATTTGGTTATATTGATAGTGCTCACTATCATACGTGTAATTCTTTGAGACGTGATATAGCAAAATACAACAATGTAGTCTGATACTTCTTTTTATATGTGTATAGATGTGATACATTCATTTGATAGAAAAATCTGGGCATTGTCAGGTATCTTTTATTTGATAGAAAATGAATATCATGTATGAAGCATTTTGATTAGCAAAAAAAAGTTCAAAAGCAAATATCAAAAATGCTATGATTGTAGATACCAACATTAACATTGTGAAACATTGCCGTTGCCCGAACAATAGTCATCGGTTACATAGCCATGATGTCCATTGGGTAATTCGATCTTATACCATTTTTTGTTTTTCCCCAAAACCTTCTCGATTTCAAAGCAATCACATGGATAGTGCTTGCTGGTGACAGCCCAGCCAACGTCAGGGCAGCTCATTGATTCACACGAATGAATAAGAACCCTTTGAAGACATAGAACATAGCTAGCCGAATCATATAAAACGAACAATATTTCAAGTATTAAATTATTCGATTAAAATAAAACTTTACCTCGCATACTGCTAGAGCGATACCTAAGATGATTGAAAGACGAATAATAGCCAAACACATTTTTGTTTTGAATTGAATAATTTCAGTAATCAAAACAACCCTTTATATACATGGTTGAATACAAAAGTCGTATAATTTATTACGAAGCTTGTGATAAGTGCAAATGATGAGTAACTGATTATGGGATCGACGTCATTTTGTTAGGGAAGAGTGAAGTATTTGATTTGCATATTGCGTTTATTGTTTTTTGATTGACATAAAATTTCTCTTTCTGAATCCTTTTTTTTCTTTCTTTCCCTTTCTCTTTTTTCTTTTTTTTCTTTTTCAAGAGAAAAATTAGGAAACTTTCTGTTGAAATCAGAAGGAAAATACGACAGTATCACGTATTTTATTTGCGAAAAGGCAAAGCTTTTCACCCTCAGATATATATAATTTTAGTTTTTAATAAACGAGCAATGAAAACGTCTGTCTCAGTAAATGAAACAAAGAAAAACAGAAAGATAATAATACATCGTTCATTGTATTGCTCTTTTCAAAGCTGCCTATTGAAAAATATAATGAAAACTGATACAAATGGGTTTCAAGAAACCGTCAAAGAATTGAAACAGAACAGAATAAATCGTTTCCTACGATTTTTTTTTGTATTGTTGTATCGCGATTGTATTTTTCTTCTGAGTGAATTGGTTTCAACAGTTCTTTACTATTTCACAGATATTTTTATTTTACTTTTGAATTCGGCATCCATTAGGATCATTTTTCATTCTATTCCTGTTATTATATTATCAAAATTTTGTATGGCTGAAATTTGAGTCTTAATTGGTTCTTTAAACTCATTATTTATCGGTCTATATCAGTACTAGAACCAGATCGGTTGTAAAAAAAATCAATCGGCTCGTAGAGATGGAATTTTTAAAAAGCCTTCGTTGTCGATTTAGTTTCTAGCGATAAAAAACTAAGATAGCACATAAATTTCTGATAGAGCTGGTAAAAAAGGAGACAAAACACAGGGTATTTAATGGTTTTTGTTGGATGTCTGATACGGGCTTCCCGTAACTACACCCTGGCACAAACGTCTTTCCTCTCTTCATTTTTTTTGCTATCATACTTTGTATAAAATTTATTGCCGAGTAAAGATAAGACTTGAGAGTTCTATTGTATTATAATCTGTATACCATACTGAAATAAAACTCTCAAGTCATATCTCCACTCGGCAATAAATTTCATAGAAATTATAATAGCATAGAAATGAAGAGGGAGGAAAGATTTTCGTCCACCAGTGTATCTCATATTTGGGCCTATTTTTCGATAAAAATTGTTTTTCAAAAGAACTTGAGACTTTTTCACTGGTTCTTTTGGCTGTTTCACCAGAATTTTTTCGGTACAACATGTGATTTCAATCGATCAGTTTAGCGACGAGACTAGTTTACAGTTTTGCAACTGAGTCTCGGTACTGATTCACACCATGTCGCAAAAAATGAGTATTCTTTGAATCAAAAGCTGAAGCCGATTAAATTACTGGAATGAAGTCGAAATCTTCGAAATGTTTCATTTTATAAAAAGTGTAGAAGTATCGTGTAAATAAACAGTATGAAATCGTGCTTTTTAAATCAGAACTTGTTTTTTTTCAAAAATAAGACTTTATTATGCGACCAGTCTTTTCGCGATTAGGTCTTATCTTCTGGAATGTCAAAAAATTCAATATGATGCTGGTTTCACACCACCTGGATTGCTACTACATATATCTAGTTGTGATAATCCTCTTTTTCTCGCATTTTATATGCATTGAACGGCGTTGCTATTGAAGTAACCCGCCCCCTCCCCCCCATATTAGAAGCCTATGAAGGTGTCTAATATTTTCACCATCTGAAGCTTCTTGAGGGGCTTCTCTTATAGAAAGAGGTTTAAGAAAATTATTAAAACCAAGAGAGATCAGGAGAAAACCTTAATAATCAGCTTGTGGATTCAGGAGAAATAATATCAGGAGAAAAGCTTAAAAATCAGGAGATTCGGCAACCCTGATCCAAATAGATCCGTATCATAGAAAAGCGATTATCAACCATCAAATATCCATAGAAAAAACATAATATAAAAATATCTCAACATTATTCAAATGTAGCCTTGCACACAAATGACAATATAACGTATAGATAGATTTAACACAACTTTCACACCAAATATTTATTATTATTTGCGTATATTAATAGTGTTCACTATTATACATGTCATTTTGTGAGACTTTTTTTCTCAGTGAGACGTGATCTGCTGCTCCTGTCTATTTATGAATCTAGATATGGCACATTCATTTGATAGAAAAATGTAGGCATTGTCAGGTATTATCTTTTATTTGTTAGAAAATGAAAATCATGTATGAAGCATCTTGATTAGCAAAAAAAAAGTTCAAAAGCAAATATGAAGAATGCCATGATTATAGATACCATCATTAACATTGTGGAACGTTGCCCGAACAATGGTCATTGGTTACATAGCCATGATGCCCATTGGGTAACTCGATCTTATACCATTTTTTGTTTTTACCCAAAACTTTCTCGATTTTAAAGCAATCACATGGATAGTGATCGTTGATGACAGCCCAGCCAACGTCAGGGCAGCTCATTTTTGCACACGTAAAAATAGGAACTCTTTGAAGACATTGAACATAGCTAGCCTAGTTATATAAAACAAAAAATATTGCAAATATTAGATTATTGGATTAAAACAAAACTTTACCTCGCATACTGCCAAAGCAATACCTAAGACGATGAGAAGACGAATAATAGTCGAACACATTTTTGTTTTGAATTGAATAGTTTCAGCAATCAAGGCAGCCCTTTATATACATGGGTGAATACAAAAATCGTATGATTTATCGCGGAAGTAACGGTATGTTGGAAAGTACATTACTGCGAAGCTTGTGATAAGTGCAAATGATGAGTAACTAATAATGGGCTTAAGTTCATTTGATTAGAAGAGAGGAAGTATTTGATTTGCATATTGCGTTTATTGTTTTTCGATTGAGATAAAATTTCACTTTCTGAATCAGCGATATATTATCATTCACCAAAGTAGGATTCTGTTGCCGAAAGAACCCGGAAGTGACATCCTTAACCATTATTCAAAATCAACATTCTATACATTTAATAGAATTTATCATCTGTAAATGATCGAAATTCTATTGAGTCAATCTGTCTATATTTATAGATAATGACGAAACTATCATTATCATCCTTTTTTCAACTTAGTTTATCTATACAACACAGAACTATTTAGGATTTTTAATGTTCGTAGACAGAATGTTGAATCATTTATCTATTATCAGTTATAAAATTAAAAGCTTCAATAGATTATCTTTGTCTTCAGATTATTTCTTAAATTCAACTACTTCGATCATTCAGTGTTCTTTGATCAAGATGCAAAAAACTTGACGATTTTTCTTGTGTATCGTTTCAACGACGTCATTTGATCATATGACCCCATTTGCTAAGAAAGATGATATGCACTTGTATGAATCATTACATCAAAGATTGTTTTATGGTAGGATGATTATAATTTCCAATTTAAACTTTTAACCTTTAATATTTTGCATTGTTGATTCTTGGATAATAGCAAAGCACGTGAATATTAATTATATATTTGACTTTCATTATACATGCATTAATCTTTGAAGATCAAGTAGGCTTAGGTTTTTCATATTAGTAATGTTGGCAAATATTGAATCAATAGTTTTTTCTCGAAAAAAAACTACTACTTCCTTGTCATACGATGATTTCGAGCAATAGGCTTAAGCTGATTCAAAAACAAACTACGATGAGAGTGTGTGCGAAGCGAATAAAGACATTTGATCTGTCACACACAACTACTGAATATACGTTGTAAACTGTATATACGAAAGTCTTTACAACTGGCACTTTTATAAATGATGTTGAAGTGAACAAAATAATTTTTGCCTTAAATTATTAGATGCGGATGGAATTCTGAAAAATGATTGAATGGATGAAAGGTTAATAAAGCAAACATTTCATCCTCATGATGGTATATTCAATTCTTATTTTTATTTTTCAAGTTTGAAACACATTTATTAAAAGAAACAAAGGTTTTAATGAAACTTTGAATTTTATAAGTATCAATCATATATACGGTTAGTATAGAAAAAACAAAATATCTCATTCAATGCACGCTATAAGTACGAAATGGTTTAAATTTGTTAGCTTGACAACATGAGTAATCGCCTAAACCAAATACGACCAACTTTCGTAACTTACAGTACACGATTTTCCAGTATAAGGCAAATTATTTCACAAAAAGAATATTAATAAAACATAAAAAAATGATTTACTGTTGCGACAATTCAGAGAAGGCAACTGGACT